AATATTAAAAGAATGCACGTGGTAATGTTGAATGCGCCATTGATTCTAAATTATGTTTTTGATGTTCAAATACAAAGTCTATAGTTTTGTATGAATTAGGAACTGAAATTACTGACATTAACAACCTAGAATATAAAATATGAACCTCCTATCTTTTCTATTTACTGAGATATTGCTTCATATACTGAATCAAACACAGTGGGCCCGCCCACCTCTTTCGAATTTTTTGTGACATTTGATTATGTAAACCTAATTTTATCTATGATCTATGAATAACCAATCAAAAGCTCTGAGCCTTTGCAAATTATTTGTATGGAAAATGCTTTTTTTTGCCCTGGATTCAAAGAGGGTAAGTTGACACTGTAGTGAGCTCAAAATTTCATATTTTTTTTACCCAAATACAGCTTAGTTACTAAGTTTGATAAATTACAGTGGAATTTTATGGTATTAATATAGTAATTTATGATTTTTTGGTTATTCAAATGTATATATAAAACCTAAAAAAAAATATTTTGTTTCACATCCTCCACGTACTAAATTTTACAAGGCTTAGCAACCTACGGCAAGCAGAAAACGAGTACGAAGGTTGTAACCGGGTGAGATAATTGTTTGCTATCCTTCTTTGTTTACTGTTCTATGTTTTAAAAAAATTAGTTTAAGAACTTATTTCATTATAGTAATAATGTATTATAACTGAAATATGACTGCATTTTACAAAATACTAATCCACTAAAACACAGCTAAGACAGGTTACTTTATGAAGGCCAGTTTTATATTCTTGGATACAGTACCATGAGTGCACGTGCTCTTGGTCATTGTATCTTCTGTATTGTTAGCCAGCCATGGCTGAAAGGTCAATATAATAAACATAATATATATAAATGTATAATGTTATGAGATTTAAGCTATTTAGTCTAAACATTTATGTTTTTATGTTATAATTTGTAGTAATTCTAGAACGAAAGAATAATAATTTATATTTATTTCCTAATGTTTTTGGTGGTTACGAGGTCGGTCAAATTGACATACCCAGTATAGCTAGGGTAGAGAAAATAACAGACAGAATATAAAGTTTTACTAGAAAGAAACGTTTGAGATGTACTTAGGAGGTTTTAGAGATTACGCAAATAATATTTGAGATTTTTGGGACGAAGAATAGTTTTTTTAATCATAACATGAAAATCACCTCGCATTCGGACTAGTGATGAAACAGACTCAATATTTTTACAAACAAATCTTTAGTAAAAGTACTTCATTAAAAATTATGGTTTTCTTGTGTACAAAAGAATTGTAATTGTTACTAAAAGTCTAATAAATTTTGTGAAGATACACATACTGCATTAAAGGTTATAGTATACATACTTAATGTGTGCACATTGTCCACAACTTCAGTCCTCAGCTGATTATGATAGGGTTATGTTAACTTGATATTGTCCATAGCTGATTACACACATTAGTCCTCAGCTGGTTATGATACGATTATGCTGATCTGACACTGTCCACAACTGTAGTCCTCAGCTGGTAATGATACGGTTATGCTGACCTGACACTGTCCACAACTGTAGTCTTCAGCTGGTAATGATACAATTATGCTGACCCTGACACTGTCCACAATTGTAGTCTTCAGCTGGTAATGATACGGTTATGTTATCTGTTGTGAGATATTTAATGTTTCTTTATTACAGTTCACTCTGCTAAAAAAGTGGAGAAAACCTGAAAGCTAAATTCAGTAAGCAGGTTGAACAGCCTTATACCAAATGACAAAGTATAAAAGTCTGGTGTGTGTCTTTAAATATTAGACCAGTTTGTCTTCCCCATACAAAACCATGTAGAGTTGTATTGACTAAAGTTGCCAGATATATCTCGTCAAAATGTGGCTTACTGTGTAGCAAGGGGAGTTAAGTTAAAAGATATTGCATGTTGAGAGACTTTTAGAAAGTTATGTTAATTCTTCCAGCATGGGCTCGGTCCCCTGGACAGATCTCATAACCATCTTGTGCTTGTTACATTTTTAATGTTATAACTTTTAAATTTGTAAGCGTATGTTCATGGAATTTAGCAGATTACCAGTAAACAAAATGTCTTTTTTTTTAATAAGTGTTAAGATTTGTAAAGCAACATTTTTCTCATGCCTTTTTTTTTTCTTGTAGGCAGAATACCACAAGGAGCATGTAGAGGAATTTATATCTTCCCACAAACACAAATATAACAGTGTCACTTATCTAAGAAAATCGAGTGACACTAAGGAATGGCACGCTCGAAATTTGGGATTGTAAGTATTTTATGTTCCAAATTCAGTAGAAGGACTAAATATGAAAACTGTGATTGTCTATACTGTTTAAATAGAGTATTTAAGGCTAAGTTTTATAGAGTGAGGATAACTTGTATCTACGTTTGGGATTGTAAGTATTTTATGTTCCAAATTCAGTAGAAAGACTAAATATGAAAACTGTGATTGTCTATACTGTGTAAATAGAGTATTTAGGGCTAAGTTTTATAGAGTGAGGATAACTTGTATCTACGTTTGGGATTGTAAGTATTTTATGTTCCAAATTCAGTAGAAAGACTAAATATGAAAACTGTGATTGTCTATACTGTGTAAATAGAGTATTTAGGGCTAAGTTTTATAGAGTGAGGATAACTTGTATCTACGTTTGCTTTGGGTTGGTTCTCCTAATATATATATACTAGCTGGAGTATCCGTCCCCTGGACGGAAGTTATGTAAATTCATGATTAATGAAAGGTTATCTTAGTACATGAAAAGTTGCTTCCCTTATATTTAATTGTACATAAAAACAGCAAAACACAAAATGTGAAACCACAAATTTGCATGTATCTCCACATGGACCCAACAAACCTTCATACTAAATTTGGTGAAGATCCGTTGACAGAGAGTGAGGTAGTGGTAAAAATGCAAAAACGCCCATAAAAATCGCAAAACACAAAACTGAAAATTTGTATGTACCCCCACATCGACCTAATGAACCTCCTTACCATTTTTGGTGAAGATCTATCCACACCCTGCAAGGTAGTTACATGGACATACAACAGACAGTACTATTATATTTAT